TTTTTTTTTTTTTTTTTTTTTTTACTTTTAGATTGGGTGGATCTATGGTTCTGTGACAGAAGATATTTTGACTGGGTTTAAGATGCATGCTCGTGGGTGGATATCGATTTACTGCATGCCTCCACGCCCGGCGTTCAAGGGATCTGCTCCTATCAATCTTTCTGATCGTTTAAACCAGGTGCTTCGATGGGCATTGGGTTCCATAGAAATCTTGCTCAGCAGGCATTGTCCTATCTGGTATGGCTACAATGGAAGGCTAAAGCTTTTGGAGAGAATAGCATACATCAATACCATCGTTTACCCTATCACCTCAATTCCACTGATTGCATACTGTATGCTTCCTGCGTTTTGTCTTTTGACTGGAAAGTTCATCATTCCTGAGGTAATTTGGTAGTTTCTTCCTTTGAAACTAAAGCTTGATCATTTGTCTTGTCTGATCTACTAAATGTGGGACTCCTCCATAAATTTCGATAGTATGCGTAACAATGACGATAATCGATATCCTATTTCTATAACTTGTGATGAGATAATGATTCTATTTTCCAATTTAAAAGTAACGGATTGTTTTCATTTACCTAACTTGCAGATTAGCAACTTTGCCAGTATGTGGTTCATTCTCCTTTTCGTCTCCATCTTTGCAACGGGTATTCTCGAACTCAGATGGAGTGGGGTTAGCATCGAAGACTGGTGGAGGAATGAACAATTTTGGGTCATTGGTGGTACTTCAGCTCATCTGTTCGCCGTCTTCCAGGGTCTCTTAAAGGTTCTTGCTGGAATCGATACGAACTTCACTGTGACGTCAAAGGCCAACGATGAAGATGGAGATTTTGCGGAGCTTTATGTGTTCAAATGGACTTCTCTCCTCATCCCTCCTACCACTGTCCTTATTATGAATATGGTTGGTATAGTGGCAGGTGTTTCATATGCCATTAACAGTGGTTACCAGTCTTGGGGTCCTCTCTTTGGCAAGCTGTTCTTTGCATTGTGGGTTATTGTCCATTTATATCCTTTCCTAAAGGGTTTACTAGGAAGGCAAAACCGTACACCTACCATTGTCATTGTCTGGTCCATTCTCCTCGCTTCCATTTTCTCCTTGCTCTGGGTGCGGATCGATCCATTCACCTCGGCTGCGACCAAGGCTGCCAATGGTCAATGTGGTGTCAATTGCTAGACAGTTACATCATAGTTTTGTCCCGTGGTATGGCGTCGTTCCTGTGAATATGACAATAAAGAAATCAAGGCATTGAGAAGAGCCCCCAGGAATGAACCAATTTGAGGAAAATGAGAAAAGGATGACCTTTACACCAGAATTTGTAGGTGTGTCTTGAAGTTGTATTGGTATGTTATAATATTATTGTGCATTATTGTGAAGTCTCATTTGTTTAATGCAAATAGATAAAGGAATTATTTATATCAGGAGAGTTTGTATGAACAAACCGTCAATGATTTTCTTTGTTCTTTTTTCTAAATGTTTCAGAATTATTATGACTGAAATTATAATTTAATACTTCCTCGTGTTCAAGGATTTCAATATCACAGTTTTTCAGCCACAGAAATCTATTCTATCTAGCATGGATAATTTCAACTATCTCAGATATATCCTAGTGTTCATAAAGGTGAGAAATGATATAACAAATCAAATGTACCCTTGTTCCTTGGTTTGGTTCCGAAAGAGAATTGAATTCTCTAAAATCTAATACACAATTGTTAACAATAGCTCAGTGGTCAAGCGGTCAGCGTTGATTCACGCTTTTTATCTGAAAAGATGGAAGACATGTCGGTTAAAAAGAAATCAATTTCACGCTATTAAGAACCATAAAGTAACATATAGTTCTATAGAAAGAAATTGATGCAAATCATTCTAAAACTCCTCTTTCACCAAATTCTAATGCATTTATGAACAATAACAAATCTCTTAGCACTGGGAAGATGCAAAGTTCTTCAAGACACCAAAAAAACCGAGGTGGGATTTGGTATTCTTCTCCAATTTTGCGCCAAAGTTTGATGTAAAAGGTTACCTTCTAATTTTCATCATCTTTGTCTACGAGAATTCTCTTGCAAGCTTCATAACACATGAACGAAATACCTGCATTGGGCACCAGCTTGATGCAGCTGGGGCCAAGCCCTTTATATAACCCCTGAATGCCTTCCCTTTCAAGTATGCTTACCAGCGCATGAATTACATTCTTGTAGACTTGTCTTCCACTGAGGGCTCCAACCTGCATCTGCTTGCGAGCTACTTCCAGTGGGAACGTCGCACTGCTCGAAATGGCACCCGCAGCTGATCCGATTAAAAGGGTTTGAATATTGCCAATTTTTTCTTGCTTAAAGATCTTCCGATAGGCTTTTCGCAACGTGTCGTAAGCAAAGTAATTGGCGGCAGAATATGGGATCACTCCAATCAAACTAGGAGTGAGGCCTCTGTAGAATTCTGCAGGCCCCTTCTCTTTAAGTATCTTAATGAAAGCATCTAAAAGGCCATCATAAACCCCTCTCTGCAAGAATTAGCAAGCATTGAGGTTTCGTGACGTTTAAGAACGAAAAATGTTGTTTCAGTTCACTAATATTTTCGAGCTACCTGTATGGTTAATCGGGTTTTGAGCAATTCAAGGGGGTATGTGCAGAGGGTTGCACTAACTCCAGCACAGGCTCCAGCAACTAATGAAGCAGGAATTGGAGTTTTTGGTTCTTCCCCTGGTCCGGGTGATAGGTTCTTGTTGACTGTATCAAAAGCAAAAAGCTGCAGAAAGAACAGCAGAGGAATCTGTAAGCACTGAAATGAATATAAAAAGCAGTTTTCACAGCAAATCCTTCCTCTTAACCCCAAAAAAAAAAAAACCCTCAACCCAACCCGGATCATGTTCGTTTTAGGTCAACCCGAAGTTTTTGTCCCATGAATTCGAAACCGAACCGAACCAATTCGGGTTCAGAAAAATGAACCCCACCCAACCCAAAATGCTAACACAACCCAACCCAACCCAACCCTTATAATTCGAGTTGGATTGGTCCGGGTTGTCGGGTTGAATGTACACCCCTAATCTCAAGTACTTCAAGGAAAAATGGAAAATTCTACATAGACAAGTTTCAAACCCAAAACAGGCTTTGAAGCATAACAAAAATTAAATTCAGTCTTCTAGAGATTATATCATCTAATGAAAGTACATGAATGATAATCACGACAAACCGTATTTGTCAAACTCAAATCGTCAACCATGGCCATTTTTCAGCTAGTTTCCATACTTGACTTTAAACAAAAAGAATCCTTGAAGCATGTCTATTAACGAATGTATGACAATTCAACGCCAAAAGCTTATGGATCCAGTTTCTATAGAATTAGACAGGAGGTCTTAAGTTTGAATCCCTACAACAATTTCCTCCTTCAAATCATATTAATGGTTACAAATCAGATCTTGTGAATCACAAAATATTCAGCAAACATAAGGATGGGAACATCAACAATTTACAAAAGGATTAAGTTTAACCTGGTACTCATTTGAAAAGATCCAAAGAACAATTCTAATAAGAAATTACCCAACAGGGAACATCCACACACAAACGAGTAGACAAGAAAAATGAAGAAATCAAGGAAGTCTAACACTTGCACAGAGAGAGAGAGAGAGAACCAATTCAATGAAATACAGAGCAAATTCAAAAGCAAAACATTAAAGCACGAGAATTAGAGTGTCAAGTACCTCAATCGCCTTGCTGGGTGCGACCCGAATAACATTAACCAAGTTGCCCCTAAACAATCCCTTCCATCCGTCATTCTTCATAATATCATTGAACACCTCTGTGACAGAGTGCCCACTGCTACCCACCATCAAATGAGTTCTTATAGTCTCCAATGGCGCTACACAAGTGTTTGACACCGTCCCAGCAATTGCACCACTTATCAACCTCCGCAGTGAAGGATTTTGAACCTTTATTCTCAATAGAAAACCAGGCTTCTTCTTCGTTTTCTTTTTCACTGCAGCTTCCTCTATAGTAACAGCCTCAGCAGAAGGCACATATTTCATACACAAATTTGTGTAAAGAGGGTTAGTGTCATCCTGGGCGCAGGAGTTGGAAGAATTGGGTGAGATGCCGAATCCGACTCCCATCTGACCGACACTGGCAAATAAGCCTCCGGGGTGGAAGTGGCCTTCGTGGATACTCCATTGGGAGCCCAAATCAAAGACTGAGAACAACCCATCTCGCTTATAGGCTAAAACCTGAGATCCTCTCTGACCCATCGGTCGGGATTCACAACCAACAAGACGAAAGGCAACACTATAGGCTAAACAGAATACGATCAAACAGTAGGCAACCAGCCAAGAGAGGAGTCCGAGAAATGGATAGAAGGCTCTGATTCAATCAACAAATGCATTTAACTGCAAATTTGAATTCAAACAAGAGAGAACATGTGGCAGCAACTTCAACAAGGGAGAGAGAGAGAGAGAGACGAATCTCCCTCCGTTGCCCGCCGACCCTCCGATCACTTGGGTTTGGGAACCTTTTTTGTCCCTTTTTTTTGGAAAGATTCCGACCCTTGGAGGTTGGAAGCAGGTTTTATACGTAGATTAAATAATTGGATTGATTCTTCCATGTTTCGGCAGAGTGGTTTGGTTTGGTTTGAAAAGTTAGTTAGGGTTTTATCATTTGTTTCCTCTTTCTGAATCAGAGGATGTGCGTTGTACAACATATTATAGAATAAGGTGGCTAACACGTGTATACATAATTCAACCACCAAAGCGCCATTCCTACCAGAAACAATGAACAAATGCCCAAACAGTTCACATTAATTTATTTTAAATTTTAATTTTCTACTTCCGATTAAAGTAAAATAAATAAAGTCAAAGACTTTGGTCTTAGCTTAGCAATTGCATATCATTACTTGCTTCAACAAAAAAGGAGAAATAAGTTAAATTCATCTCTAAACTCTCTTAGACAAAATTCAAATTTACATCTAACATACCACTCAGTTTTTCTTTCTAAAAAAAATCAATTTAATAAAAATAAAAATAAAAATAAAAAGAATTTATTAAATACACTTTAGTCAAACTTCAACCATAAATTTGGGAGGTAATAGTATAATTGGCTTAATTTAGAACAGCCCTGACCAATGGCCATCAAGTCGTCGTTGGTCAGGCACGTGGACAATTCACAATGGCCTGGACAACTAAAATCGCCGGAATATTAATTAGTGTAATAATATATAAGAGCATCTCCAACAACAATGGAAGCACTTCCAAGTTTAAAATGATAATGGTTTTAAAAGACGGACTTTATAGTTATATCAACTCTATCAACCGTAGACCAAATTTTAACGTTCTAGACCAATTTTACACTTTAACATAGGAAGAAAAAAAAGAACATCTTCTAGACGATACAAGAAGAGAGTTTTTACATAGCTTACTAACCACAAAAAAAAAAATAATAATAATAATAATAATAATAATAATCAATAAATAAAGTTTAAAAAAATATTTACTCATTAAACTTACATACAAGTTCTAAATTCTAAACGTTAATTCATAACACTAAGTTCTAAACATCACAACACTTAGAGTTATTTAATTTTAATATATAACAATTTATTTTTTACACTTTCAAAATTGTAACGTGAAATATCTCATCTAATAATCTTTACAATTCGACCATTTGTTCCTATCAATTTATCAACCTTCATAGAATAAAACCTCTTTAAATTTTATAAATATTTTTTAGGACATGGCTATAAAAGTAAAAAGAATAAAATGTAACCTATTAAGGTTCAAAAATTAAATTATTACTATAAATGTTTAGGAGACTAAAGTGTTCTTTAATCAAACTTTATAACATCTGTTATGGTAAGTAATGTCGTAGGGAGGCCTAGAAAGCTTCCAACTTCGAACTCAAAAACATGGCTCCTCACTTCTAATAACATTTTATAAGTATGTATTCTAAACATATCTTTTCTTACCATGTATTCTAAACATATCATTCGACCGATCGCATTGGATTATTTAAAGAATTCAACACATAAAATTTCCAATTTGCATGTGGGAGTGAAATTATAGAGATCAAACAAAAAGGAATCTTACCAAGAATCTTTTAACTTGGGTATTAAAGACAAAGAAGTTAGCAGGTTTAGCTCAATACATAATCAATTGACTAGAGGTGAAAAGATATAACATTATGAATGAGTAGGAAGAGGGGAATGATTGCAGTGAGCATTCTTTAAAGTTTATGAAGTTATTATCTTCTTTTTAATACTACCTAATGTGATTTTTTTAATTTTGAATTCCCTTATATTGTTCTGTTCAGTTATTATAACAGGCCTCAAAATGCAATAGAATAGTTCAGCTCTAGAGAATTAAATATAGATAGATAGATAGATATTTCTGAGCGCGATCTCTCTCTTCCCCCTACTTATCCCACATGAGAGAGAATTTTAGCAGTGGACGAGTACCTTATAAAGTCATGATGATTGCTGAAATTGGAACCTGGCTGCTGAATCAACTAATGATGCTGGTTCTCGTCTTTGGAAATAGGGATGAAGGTTTCGCACTCCCTTCAAGTATAAAGGTGTTTGCATCTCAATCAATCGAGAAACCTATAAAAAGAACAGAACTATGTGACCAACAAAAAGATTTTCATTTTTGTAATATATATAGTTTTCCAAAGCTCACCGGGTTGAAATGGACACAGATGTTACCGTACAATTAATAATGTGATTGAAATAACTTGAGAATAAAGGATTTTTAAACAAAACTGGAACTTTTTGCAGTTTTCAAAACTTGGCTGAGTGTATATAAGCTTAATTTTCAAAAACATAAAAGTAAAAATAAAATGAAAAAAAAAAAAAAGAATCATAATACTCGGAGCATTATACCAAGTACTAAACCAACCTGTTGGTTTGACTAAATACTGTTTGCAAATCATACAAGAACCATTATAGAAACTAAGGAGACAAAAGAAACTTACAGCTCGACGGAATGCAAACATCTCTTCTTGACCAGATAGCATTGACACAATTGCAGTTGGAGCACCTACTGATCCTACATTGCCCTCCACTAGGACGTTTCGACGAAGCTTTCCCCCTTCTGCCTCTGTTTCAAACTGAAAACTGCAACCAGAAATACAAAGTTCATAGCATAGTTGCAAAACCTACATTGATGCTCAAAAGATAGAATCAATTTCAAAGTTAGTAATCTATAAACTGAATGATGTGGGTCGATCTAACTACTAAGCAAGGAAATCAAAATGATCCATGATCCAACAATATGCATATACGCTCATAAAAGACCTAGATATCTGCATGCAAGACTTAAATGTGTCTCATTCTAAGGTTCAGAACAGAAGCAGCATAAAGTTGATGTGGTGGTACTCAGTATACTTGGTCTTCTTCAATCTCTTCAAAAGGCTTAGAGAGATATACAGTTAGTTTTCCTTGACTTTTCCTTGACCTACCGCTCCCTTGACTTTTTCTGAAAAAATCTCTTATTCTTTCTAAACAAACAGATGAAACACACCAAAATGGGTCTTGTGGCATTAAACCAAAATATTTTTGCCTACCCTAGGAAGACATGTTCTCAAAGTGCTTCCACGAAATTGCAGAATGACTGGACACCGGAGGGAAGGACAAAGCAAATTCAATATTACTTATGATTGATACTAAATATTTACTCAACGCAATCGGTTTGCCAAACTCTTCAAGCCGTTGTTCATTTCAAAAATAAATAAGCATACTCAAGCATGAAATGAAATCACGATTGAAGTATATACTTGACAATGTCATATCAATGTACTTGAACTGAAGTTGGAAAATTCACTTAAAAGTGGAAACATCGAAAAATGGAGATGTTACATGAGCATTCACATTCTTAGAGCTTCTAAAAAAAAAAAAGAAAAAAAAAAAATCAACCCAAACACAAGAGGAACAATTACCTCTCCAAATCAAAAAGAGCACCCTCTTCCGTGCCCTGGAATAAGTCCTCAATTGATGTAGCTGCCAAGCAAAATAGGCAGCAATGGTGATTGTATAACTCATCAATGAGAGTGATGAACCGCCGGGCCTGAGAAAAGGTAATTCACTAAGCTTAAAATGAGGGAAAATGGAGGGCAGCAAGAAAGATATTCAATTTTACACTTCACAGATGTCGAAGGCCATAGGGAGCAACATTCATTTAATACGCATGTAAATTACCAAGGGTATGTAGCCAGTACAATATGCGCACTTAAATTGCATTTAGCCACTTAGGCTGGCAACATTTGTCTGATTGAAATTTGAAGGTTCACTAAGATCACAGAAAAAATATTGAAAGAAAATACTTGTTCATACCTTGTCACGAATGCGCATGCTCATCGTTGGGATGTCAGATATGAAGACAGTGTGATAGTTTTTGGCTAGGGCAATATAATCTGCAGCACCTACCTAAGGAAAAAGAAAATCTTCCAATTGGCGCCAATCATAAAAAGGTATCAAATTTACAGAAGAGACTAGAAGAGCAGCTCCAAGGAAAAACATCAAAGTGACTTATCTGCCAAATTTTGTTAATGTTTTATGTGTCATAACAGATAATGTGAATTCTATCTAAAGTTTTTAACCAAATGCTTTTAACTACGTATTTTGATGTATTCAAGCTTCCAAAAGAAAGGCACCGTAGCAAGATTCTCACATTATTTAAGGATTGTCGATTTCCAGTAGCATTGTAAACATGTTGATCAAGGATGACACTCCAATTTTTCATTAAGTGCATACACGAGTTACAACCTTCAAATACCTCTCAAAGTGCAAATGTCTAAATCAATCTATCTTTTCTCGAGATAGGAATGCACTTTTCTCGAGATAGGAATGCATTGATTCAAGAGATGAAGAAAGCCTCATAAAGTCAAAATTTTCAGCGTCATAAAGAGCTCTGGCAAAATTGATAAGCCAACAACTTAATTTCCATGGACCAGCAATCCTCCATATCAGAGCATTTTGTACTAAAGCTATCTCTTTTAGGATTTTTCTAAAGGTACCAAACCTTCCCCTTTTTACATTGACCTACAAGAAAACCCTTCACCAAGACCTTATCTTAAAGATTTTCTAATTGGTACCACTTCTTCCACCATCAGGCTACAAGGCCACGCAACTAATAAAGGTCAGAGTTTTGAACCAACCCAAGAGATGGACTTCCCACGTAAAACATTCAGCATGACGTTAAAAAGAAAAGATAAAAACATTATATATGCCCTCACAGATATAATTGTACTAACAATTGATGGAGATGTCCACCAATGTATAAAACGGTGTTAACTATCAATTGTAGATCATTACATATGACCTCACAAAAAACACACACCATTGTGCTAATAGTAGAAAGACAAGCATGATACCGGTTGACCACAGAGAAAATCAAATGCAAATCGTGCCACTCCGTTGCAGCTTTCTGACACCTCCAATTTTCTGATTGATATACATACAATTGGTAAAGCATCCTCAATGAACACATTTGAGTTAAGTTTAGTCAGTACCTCCCAAACATCACAGGAATAGTCTCAGAGGTGATTTGTCCTCCCAATTGGCTGGTGATTTCGACCCACATCTTTTCAAATTTTCCCACTGAAGTGCAATCTGAAGGCCAGAAATAATGCATCTACATGTGCATTCAACGATAAATGAATAAAAATCTGAACCACTGTAGGAAAGAAATTGCAACCAATATATGATCATTAACATCTCACACTGCCCATGTCTGGTGTTAAAACCATCCAAGTGCACCGATGTCAAAATGATTGATCAATAAGGACAATAATCTCTATTCACATGCTCAAAAAATTCAAAGATTGAAAAGTCACCCAAAAGGGTGAGATATGATGGTAAGAGAGACAACTATCATAATGGGAAACATCAAAATAGCACGAGTGGATGAGAAGGCATCGGTTCCCTCAGTCGGTAGCCAATACAAAACATTGACCACTCTCTCACATGTCATAATCTATAACACAAACATGGTTTGCCATGAACCAACCAACTCAACATTCTCAAAAACCTTCAAAATTGAACGACAGATACTTCAAAATTGTATGTGTAGTTTTTCCTCGAATACCTTGTTACAGTGTTAATAATCTCACCTGGTCAAAAGACCTTTGGGCTATAAAGCGCCGGTAATCAATCTCACTGCCAATAAGAACAAATGCACAATGCTCCTCCAGTTTAGTGACAAACTTTTGGAAGATATCCTTCTGCATGCCATCCTGGATTAACAAAATCCGTCTAACACAATCAAGATGATGAATTTCATATACAAGTTCACTGTATACCTTCTTGTTGATTGTTTAAGCGGTTTATTTTGAATTTTCTCCTTAACATTCTGCTAATGTTCTGCCACAGTGTCCCTTTTGATAATTATGGTTTCCTACTGTTTAGATCCCATCGTTCAATTAGTAGCTCTGATGAGGATAAAAAATGGCCACTTTAAGAAGGTACTAATTCCATGGTAATAAATTGATTAAAAAATAATATGTTAGAAGTTGATCGCTCAAAATACCCTTTATTGTTCAGAGAATCACTCTCTAGAAGAGTTGATCTAATAATTTTTTAGCTTCCAAGTCTAAAACTTCGAGATGCAGACCAGTTTATCTTTCCATACCCTCAAACTACTATACATGTTTTGGGGCACTTGGCTCCATCAAAGTGTCAATTTCATCTGCATAAAAACTTAGTCAAACCTGATCACATTGTAAATCTGAATACCAGACTTCACCAGCCAGAAAGATTGAAAATTAAAAACATGTAAAATTAAAAATTCTAATGACCAGCTAGTGTATCTTATCTCCTTCAACATTTCAATTATAATGGTACCTGGTTCAAGTCCTTTGGAGCTCGATTGCTGGTGGCTACAAGAACTGTTCCAGTACTTAACAATCTGCTTACAATTCCAGATAAGGCTACAATAGCAAATACATCAACTGTCTGAAAGAGAAAGCAGAATAACCCAATAAATTAAAATCATGAATAGAATAGAATCATTGGTAGCTAATTTCAAACTGTTTGCTTACACAAAACGTGCATGAATAAACTCAGATATCAGCAACAAAAAAAAAAACAACCTTTTTCCCATGATAAACGCCTCATCTTTCACTCCAAATTTTCAAAACTCTAGTTTTCCTAAGTTAGCCCCCATAGTTTCAAAATCCTAGTTCTCGGACTTTCACATCAATATGCATGACCCGCTATTATTTATATGTTATCTTGACTGTATCAGGAATAGTACAATGATGAAGCAAACTAACAGTAAGAATTTTCCCTTAGTTTCTTTTCATTTACCTGTATCTCATCGAAGCAAAGAATGCTAGCTCCTACTTGACCTGCTTGTTGATCAACCAGAAATTTATCAGCAACAGCAGGAAGAATGTTTTTCATCTGTACCTCTTGCTTGTATTTTTCTTCTGCTGCAACCCACTCCTTCACTTTTGTATCAAAAGGGAGATTCATAATCCAACTCGAGATGCTTGATTGTGAAGATTTCTCCCTCACTTGATTTTTCCATATCTTGTGCATATCTTCATTAATTTTAAGCATAGCCTGCCATATAATGGAGTAAACTTGAAAACCAATACCAATCTGGAAAAAAGAAGGCATTATCTCTGAAACAGTAAAGCTTAACACAATTGTTGAAATAGATTGTTAATGTTTGTTCAAACGTCTCAAATTTTCCAAACTAAAATAAACCCTCACCTCATGGAAATGGTACCTTTGACGATGTTTAACAATTCCTTCAGTAGCATTGTAAAACATATCCATGAGCATAGTCTTCCCTGGATTATTAGAAATTCGTTCAGCAAATCAGAATTAAGTTAATTGTAAAATTATAGGCATAAATCACAGTGATAGTCAGATTATAAGCATAAATCAATGTGAAGTGGTAACTAATGTCCAAGCTTGCCATATAAAATTTTATCGTGGTCAGAAACTTACCACTTCCAACATTGCCATATATGTACAGTCCTCTAGGAGCATGTGGAGCAGAAGGACAACGACCTACAAGTGAATCCAACTTCCTCTCTCGGTTAAGGTATGAAACCCACTTACCAACTCCAGGTTCAATATTTTCAGAAGATTTCCTAAGGTAAAAATAAATAAATACTTGCAAAGATCAGATTCTACAAAGTTTATCACAATCAGAAGCATAAATGGAACTGCTGAAGATTTTAAGCTCGGAAAGGTAACTGTGAAAAGAAGTGTGCCTAACCGAAACATCAGTGTTTCAGCAAGTTTGCTTCGGCGCTTGTTTACTGAGGTCCATACATCTCCCGGTTGTTTAGACTCAGCTTCCTCCATTAAAAGTCTGCGCCTCTCGTTCTCCCTATTCTGCTTCCAATTAGCTAGTTTTACCTTAAAAGTAAGCAGTTCAAAAAAGTGCCTTAGTATTAGGTTTCAACCTATTTGTAAGAATAAAAGCATATCTGACATTCGGATCATTATAGTAATATCAATTCCAATTAGTACATGATACTCTTCCATATCCCTTTCATATTGCTCCAATCTTCCAAGCAAACTCTCCAATTCGGAAGCCACTCTCTCTTGAAAAGGATCATGCTGTAGCTCCCCTCGCTCAACTAGATGCTTATACTGGTTTAATAGCCCTGCAAGAAGGAATTTCATATTACAAGTCTGAAATACAAATGCGACCAAGACTACGGTATCACGGAATCCAAAGCGCCTACACTATAGAAATATGGATCATACACAAACTCGTATAGCTCAAAATAAGCAGCAAGTTCGAATCCGAGAAAATGAGATCGATCAATGCAATGCTTTAACGTCAAACGTATCATAGAGAACAGAAATCAAACTAAAGGAGCATCAGCGATCAAAGAGATACCAAATCACGATCAGAAATACGACGCATAAAGCGAGGAATTCACTCTCTCATGAATCATTAGCCAGTAACCATCACAATAACACTGTACTGTGCATAAGCTAGAGAGTGAACCTCCACACGCATATACTACATCCTAATTTCATACTCAACATTATAAAATGCACACATATAATGCGAATAGCAATGTGATAGAGACCTGGAGACTTCGCAGACGAAGAGAGGAATCGAACACTAAGCGGATCAACGCCGAGCTTCGAAGATTGTTGACGAGTGAACCTCAGCGACAATAGCGAATAAATTGTTGAAGTCGAAGTTCCTCTTTTCATCTCCGAACCACAATTTCTTCTCCTTCTTCGTCTCGAAGTATAGCGTGTAGTTTCTGCAAGAAGAAAGCGTTGCAATTTCCAGAACCGAGAGCGCGTAATCGTTGATGCACCAAAACTGCAAACTGCAACGAAAATGGAAAGTAGCGACTTGTTCTTCCCGCTAACCAGCCACGTGTTGGCAACAGGGTAATTACCGCGCGAAGATGACGTGGATAGAAATATCACCGTTGGATAGAAATAAATCGTACGGTCCTTAATAGGACATCATCCTTTCATGTTTGGAGATACGACTTCCCTTTTAATCTCCATCTTGCAAGGTGTTTCTACTGTTTTTTATATTTTAAAAAAATATATTCATTTTAAATAATTTTTAATTGATCATTTCTATTAAAAAATATAAATTATTCTTGTAAATTCAATAATACATTATGAGTATAAGGTTATATCTAACATAATTTTTTTAAGAAATTAATTTTTTAATATTACAACATCGTTTTCACAAGTCAATACTTATTCAAATAAATGAAAATAAGAAAGTGGAACCGGACAGATATAGATAATTTTTACTTTCATTTAGTTAACGAGGATAAATCTTTATTCGCTCATAATTAAAAGATAAAAAAACTAAATTTGCTAGCCAATTTGAATTGAACCGTTAAGTAAAATGTCATAGGTTTGAGAGAACCAAAAAAATAGATAGATTAAAGAAGAACCAATTTCCGAACACGAAAAGAAAAAGGGTAAAATGGTCATTTCATTTCTCTATATATTACAATATTCCAAATTTCAAGCTTTTAAAAGACTACAAATTAGGATTGTCCAAAAAAGGCAATAAGGTATACTTTATAAGGCATTGAATGGGAGGGATGACTTGGTTTTTGGTGCTGAAATTAAGGATATAATTGAACATACCCATAGTTTTTGGTGTTGATATTAGGGATGAAATGGTTCGAAGTCGCGAGTTTAACGACATTTGTCAAGCTTCTCCTTTACCCGTTATCTAAGAAAAAGTCGAGTACTCGATTTTGTGAATGTGATTAAATCGTCCTACTACGAAATTAAAAACATTCTCGATTGGTTGGAACTTATCAATAGGAAAATATTGACTAAATTACGAAAAAAAATGCTTCAAAACTTTTGACTTCTATTTTTTCAACGATTGCAATATTACATTTTTTTTATAAACATTTTGAAACTATCCTTGAAGCAAACATTAGCTCATAGTGTTCTTACGAACATCTATCCAAGTCCCAATTTTCTTCCAACTTTTCAACGAACAGAAAGTCAAGAGTAACAAAAGAACATTACAAGTTTTCATACCGTATTTTATAGTCCAAGTTTCTTCCTTTTCGTGTGCCGAAATTACATCTTCGTAGTTTCGAGAATATACCTATTCTAGTTTCGAGAATGTACCTATTCATCAAGTCGAGGTTCGTATCTAAGAACAAAAGATATTTTAAAAATGCCATTGCTCCACAATATCCAGAAGGCCAAATCTAATCAGAGTATCACTAACAAGAGAACAATGGAATACAACCTAAAAAGTGAATAAATAAGCACTGAGCAGAACCCTCATTGAATGAAAGAAGGAAACTTCTAAAGAAATGCAAGAGAGAAGAAGGGGAAGAGGATGATGCTGTGAAGAAGAGGAAAAGGAAAAGAAAAAGAAACAAAAATGGGATTTGAGATTCTGTTGTTCTACAAACTCATCAGGTTCATCAATGGCTGCAGGTATCATAATCAAGCAACAAAAGCAAAAATCTCAAACACCTAATAATATTACTAACAGCCAGAAGTAGAAATCCAGAAAATAACCTGAATTTGAGCTGATGAAGAGATCCCAAATTCTGCAGCTACCCCAATTCTTCATCTCGATCCTTCTCTTTGTTCTCTTCTTTTTCCTGATTTATTGCTATATTCTGTGTTCGTTTCAGGTTTCAATTCAAGTCTTTGGATTCGTTCTTCCTCCCCAACCCGTCGTTCTCTCTTTTCTCCAGCAATTTTCCTGTCTCTTCATCGGCTTCAGTGGCCTTCTTTTGCGCCTCTATCGCCTTCAGAGCCTTCAATTTCGAGTGATTGTAATACCCAACCCCAACGAAAGCCAATCCATAGCCGAACAAGTTGATAGGAGTCACAGTGTCCTTGATCACCGACCACGAGAAGGCAATCAGGAGCCAATCCTTGACCACGCCGGCGACGTTCATCGTTAGGGCGGAGGTTTTTCCAACGAGCAAGAACACAGCGAGATTTAGGGCAAATGCGCAGAGTGAATTGGTGCCGAAGATCACATAATCGAAATGGAGACTGGAAGCAGATTTCAAAATTGGATACTCGACGAAGATCCACGGCACTAACAAGAAGACGAAACAACAAGGCGCAACGTAATACAAAGAAGTAATCGGATTCAACGAGATTCCTTTAGAGGTAAGCAAAATCTGGATCAGAACAAGCCGAGTCGCCTCGAATGCAACGGCGCCAAGCTGCAAAGCCACACCCCAAACATCGAATTTCGCTTCACCATAAGCAGCAATCGAAACGCCAAACGAAATCGACAACATATTCACCATCGTCTCCGTCTTGAAACCTTCCTTCTTCAAAAGAACGCCGATCGAATAAACAGCGACCGGCATCAAAGCCTTGAGCATCTGAATGAACGAGACAGAGAGGTAAATGTACGCCGAATTCGAAAGCCACAAAGAGAGAGAATATAACGCTCCAATTGGAACAACAGAGGAGATATATAGATCTCTGGACATGGAAACCGGCTCGACGAGCTTGAAGACGCGAATCATAAGAAAAGCGATAGAAGCACAGAAACTCATATGGATCATGGTGAGGGAAATCGGAAAAGGCCAATCATACATCTTCTTGTCGAGAATGAACTTGTTGTAGACAATGACGGTGAAGCTGAGGAAGATCCAAATGGCGACATAGGTGTAGGAGAGGACGATCTTCTTCAGAACACTGTCACTGATAAAACTTCCTTTGCCCATTGCGCCGATCGGGGGGAAATCGGAGTTGAATCAGAGGGAGAACAACAAGAAATCTGCAGGAAAAAAATAAGCAATGGAGATTCAGAGAAAGGAACCGAGCTTGATTTGAGTTCGGTTCAGGGAAGAAGAAAGTGACGGAGACGGAAAGGGAGCGAAATCTGGGAGAATAAATAAATTCTCTTTTTTTTTTTCTTTTCCTTAATTTGTTTTTTATTTTATTTTATTTTTCATTTGGCTTTGGATAAACAATTAATTAAATAAATAATGGAGGGTCAAAAATGGGAAGAATCTGTCTTATTTTGTTGTTTTCAGTCCAATTAAAAATTGAATATAAATATATACTTAACAAAAACTATATTAATAATATTTTAATTTTATAATTTTTTTTAAATATTATTTTGGTCCTCTCAAAAAACATTAAAATAAAAAAATTTATTTTTTTCAATATTTTTATTATAATAAAAAAAAGAATTAATATAGTCTACTTACTATATAATAAAAAAAATATATCACATTTGTCAAAACGAATAACTCATCGATAATTGAATTGTACTAAAATAACACATTACACTATCATATTAAAAAAAATATATCTAATTCTTTATTCTCGAGCCTCGGTTTAATAAAAAAAAATAATGAGAATAGCTAAACTGTCCGTTAAAAGTTCGAATCTCATTATATATTAATTAAAAACGTTTATTAATAAAAACATCTTTTTAGTAAAAATTAAGCAAAATAATGAAACGGTGGAAAATAAAATTGGAATCAGAATCACATGTGTTATTGCAGTGAAGGGACCGTCCATCTTTAATTTACTGAAGGTGAAAATTAATTTTGTTTTCGATAAAAGAATGAATAAAATAGAGGTACTTTTTTAAATTATAACCGTCAAATATTAAAAAGAATAATATCATAAAAAAAAAAAAAAAAAACTTTTATTGATGTTGACTATTTTTAATAATTCATTAAAAATGAATGTTTATGATAATTACAAAATAAAAAACATTAATTATTGGTAATATATCAATTTAATTATTTATGTACAAATATTATTGAGGTACATCATTACTACTTTTTTTTGTGTTCAAACTTTTTTATTGACAACCACACTCATGGTAACTCTAGCGTTCGTAGTTCAATGACTAAGATAATTGTCTTCTAAGCAATAGATTCGGGTTCAAATCCCGGCAAATGAACCAACTATTATAACTCTAGTGTTTAATTAAAGGTGTTCATGAATTCAGTCATCTGCATTTGAAGTAAGCGGGTGGGCTCGGATTCGGGACGGAATACATGAAATACATGAGACTCATCTACAGCTTCTATCAGCTTAACCACTTTTACCCACTTTTGCTGCAAGAAGTTTACATATAACTCTCCCCTTTCCTTCAAGAAATCCAAGCCAGCCACGAAAACCACCACATTTGGGAACTTACTCCATTCTTCTTTACTCATTTCTTGTGTATTATTCTCGTAGTTACATCCGAAATAATCAAGGTTGCTACCTTTCGGTATGCTCAATCTCCAAAACATATCATTCATTTCCACAAATCCTTCTACCCCTTCTGCTTTCTCCTTCTCGGTTCGTTTCTCGCTCCCGAAATATGGATGAATTAACATCAATCCTTTGATAGTCAGGTTCGAAATGTTGGTCTTCATGGTTTTGAGTGCAACATGGTGGACAATGTTGCCTCCCGCACTGTCTCCGGCTAGGAAGACTCGAGAAAGATCGGCATTTTGCAACCATGGCTCGAAACAACTTGCTTGATGGGCGAGCCACTCAAGTGAGCTGTAGCAATCTTCATAAGCTGCTGGAAGTCGATTCTCCGGTGCCAATCGATAGTCGATGGACAAGATAACACAATTAGATGCAACAGCCAAGCCTCCAAGAAAGTGATGGTACCCCATCCAAGTAGTTGAGCCAATGCAAAAGCCACCACCATGGAAGTAAACAAGAATAGGAAGTTTTGCTACATGATTACCAATAACATTAGGAAGAAACAACCTTCCGGTAACTGGCTTTTTGGGGTCGATAGCGACATCCTTGAACTTATAATTCTTAGATGATTGATTATCAGTTGAGACAACGACTTCAGGAATCAAGCGTCGAACTGACCCATCAGAGTATACTTCAAGGAATCCCGGTGCTTCTCCTATCAATGCCATTCGTGCACGAAATACTTGGGAGGTGATAATTGAGCCAAAAAAAAGTGTTAAGACTTTCTTTTGGATTGAAGTTTTAAGAGAGTCTGAGGTTTTTATATGGGTAAGAGTTCATAGCAATTGAAGTTGTAAAGGCAATGTTGGTGGGTTGGCGTTGATCATGCAAAGGAGATTGGTCCCAAAACAAAATAGAAACAACTTTAATAGAAACAACTTTAGCAGTTGAGTATTAGGTGTACTATTTTCAGAGTGGTTAGACGCTCAAAGAAGTTTAAAAGAAAACTGAAATTAAGTGGGAAAAAAAAAAAAAAAAAAAAAAAAAAA